AGAAAACAAAAATAGGCATAAAGGTATCACTAGCCAAGAGGACTTTCCAGGTTCGTGCTTATGCCTTCCCTTGAATCAATTACAATGTGGTAAGCAGTAGAGATGATGTGAGGATATGTATGTGGTTTAATGAAAAAGCCCATGCAGTGAACAAGGAACTGAGGCTTCCTGCTAACAGCCCTGTAGTGATCTTTCCTGCCAATAGATGACCTCCTTGCATCAGATAACCACTTCCCGGAGAGCCAGCGTGACACACTGCCATGAGAGATGTTTAGCTGGGTGCTAAGACCACCCAGCCTAGCTACTTTTATATTCTTGCCAATCAGGTACAAAAAAACCTAACTGAATGAAAAATGCATTCTAAGATAGTCCAGGTTTGGACCATCTATACCATTTTATATAATGGTTGTGCAAATTTACATTCCAACAGTGGTCAAGGGTTGCCTTTGCTTCAAATCTTTGCTAGCACTTGTCATAGTTAGTCTTTTTATAAAAGCCATTTTTACTGAGGAAAGGTTGATCTATGAGCCATAATTTCCAGGTAGACAAGAGCAATATATTCTGGTGAGCAATTGCACTGTAGGAGGACTAGCTAACATCACTATACTAAATACTTCATGAAGCTAGAATGAAAGCTATAAAATTTTAATCTACTTGTGTAATCAATACATCAGATCACAAAATAATGAGGAAGGGAATGTGAATGTACATAAGAAAGAGATGAAAAACTGTAATTATTATTTTTTTTACTTACTCAACTTTCTTGAGTGAGGGGATTAGGACACTGGGGATATTATCTCCAAAGGATCAAGATCCATTAATTCTCTACAGCTTCAAAGTATTATGAATTCAGAATTTAGAGACCACATTAATAGCAGGTTGGAGTGTCAGATCTATGTCTTAGATTGAAATGAAGAGTGTTCAAAGTCATGGCTCTTTGCCATGGGCTCATATGTAAAATAAAGTTCTGACTTTGAAACACATTTTTCTTGACTGGAAATTTGAGAAGACTATCTCTGTACTATATTAGAAGTGTTTTCCATTGGGTGGTGTGGAGGTTACTCTCTTCCTGATTTTGTTACCTGTTGCTCCGCTCACACTGCTTTCATTCTTTTGTTCCCTTCTGTCTTGCTGAGACATCATCTGAGTCCTGATCATTTCAGCTGTTGATCCAAGAGAAGGAGAATCATGGAACTGCAGAAAATTCTTGCATGGAGATGAGTTCAGCAATCTACTAGCAAGGCAGCTCTTAGAATGCAATGAAGGTGAGGATAGTCTGGGAAAAGTGTTGGTGGGTGGGGCATGTCTGTCAGGAGAATGGTTTGTAGAAGGAAGGTAAGTGACATGGAAGGAGACAGGTTCTTTCTTCAGGAATCTTATTTTGCAGTTACTATATACATTACAGATTTTCCCAACCTTACTATTTTGTCATCTACATGAGAACATCATATATCAGGCAAATATATTTCCAAACTGTCAGTAACAACAGAAAGGGATAATGCAAACCTCAGTGAGTGTGGTGAGAGTGAAATTCAACAAGTTTAGGAATCAATTTTAGAATTTAGAGTTGAAGAAAAATAGAGTTTGATGTTTTTACAGGAAAAGAAATGACTTCCTTTTCTGTTTCCCTGGGAGATAACCCTGAGTTATCTTCTCTGGTAGATATTCAGTATGCTATTAAATGACTGTCTTTATGATCAAGTACAGCCCAATCATGCGATATGTCCTCAGGATGATGTCAAACCTTTGAGGAGTAGGTATGATGGAAGTGTGCTGTGGAGTGCTTATTGCCGAGGATCATAAGGGGGCTGTTGAGAATGGTCTGTACCTCAATCTGATAAAAGCCATCTATGACAGACCAACAGCCAGCATCATACTAAATGAACAAAAAGTGAAAAGTTTCACTTTAAAATTAAGAAGAAGATGAAGATGTCTACTATCACCACCCCTGGTCATTATAGTTCCGAAAACATTAACCAGAATAATTAGATAAGAGAGAGAAATACAAGGAATAAGGATAGAAAAGGATGCAGTTAATTTATCATTATTTGCAGATGACATGATATTCTACATAGAAGACACCCAAAACACCAAAAGACTCCTAGAATTAATAAGCAAATTTAGCAGCACAGCTGGATACAAAGTTAACACTCCAAAATCAATAGTATTTCTGTTCACAAACAACAAATTCACTGAGAGAGAAATAACAGAAACCACACCCTTCACGACAGCACCCAAAAAATGCAATACTTAGGAATCAGTCTAACAAATGAAGCAAAAGATCTGTCCACTGGAAATTATAGTACTCTGAAAAAGGAGATCAAAAAGGATATCAGAAAATGGAAAGAAATCCCTTGCTCATGGATAAGAAGAACCAACACTGTGAAAATGGTCATACTCCCGAAACACATTTAATGCAATCCCAATCAAAACATCACTAGCATACCTCACAGGTCTAGAGAAAACTTTCCTAAAATTCATTTGGAACCAGAGAGATGTAGAATAGCAAAGGCAGTGCTGGCCAACAAAGACAAGGCATGAGGCATTACATTTCCTGACTTTAAATTATATTATCACCAAGGTACTTTGTGAATCTTACACTCTACCTTGGGCAGGAAAGGAGCAGACGATTTAGCAGTTAGAATTTGCTTGCTAAGCTAGAAATAAAAGTGTTCATTTTAAAGGAAAAGTGTATGTACTTCTAGGCTACAAAATGTTTTCCTTTTTAAAAATTCTGCCAAAATATTTAAATAATTCACTCTTTTTTATGAGAAAATCAACCTTTCCCTGACATGTGTGTCTTTTGCTATTTTTTCCCCCTTTGGTACTAGTGAGGAACAAACCCAGGGCCTTCTTATTTAATTACATTCCTACACATTTAAATTTTCTTTTTTTACTTTGAAACTGTGCCACACTGTGTGGCTTAGTTGCCTAGAGCGGGTTGAAAATTGCCGCACACACCGTTTACCTCCACCTCCAGTGTGCGAAACGTACAGGAAAGGGCCGCCCTACCTGGCCAAGGCCAGGGGCCTGGAAGCTTTGTCGTGCCATGACAAAGGTTAGGTCAGAGGATGTGGGAATGGTGCATTCACTGGACCTATCATTTGAAGTTTTGAGGTCAGCTTAAAGAGGCTATTTTTCTTTGTAAATGGGAAAATTTTACTTTCTCCAATTTGCTGTGAATGGTGAAAGAATTGAAGTGCATAAAGTTTTATTGCTTTTCAAGAAAAAACATTCAAATTCCATAAATATAGTTTTTATGTGTCAATTAAGAGTTAATAAATTCTTTTGATAATCTTATTGATCTGTTTAAGTCCATTCCTAATTTTATTTTCATTACATCTGCAATGTTTTTGCTAGTACATCATTACTTTTACCTCAGTCTTGCATTCCTGAGGTTTAGTGGTTAAGGGAATTTATTACACATTTACTACTAAGTGAAAAAGGCAGATCACAGCTTTTTATATTAATCTCAGAAAGCCACTGAGTCTGAAAATACCCACTTTTCTTCTGAGCACATGGTAATCACAGAGGTTAAGTTACTAAAATCTCTCTGGTTAGCAAATGGTAGAGTCTACTTAAGTTTAGGCATAAGTTTTATACAACCTCTGAGCAAGCAAGGAATGGAACCTTGTTTTATTCATTTTTCTTTTTCTGGCAGGAGATATATTATGCTTGTGTCTAATATTAAATGGTCCATGGTCATGGTCCAAAGTTGACTTTTATATAGCAAGGGGCTGGAAAAGCGTTTTAACTTCCTATGGATATCTTTGTTAGCTCCGAGTCTGTGCAAACCCCAGGAAAGGGACAAATCTTACGTAGGACATGGTGATGGGACAGATGATACCATTTCCTGAAGAGCCTCTTCTTCCTTCACCTTTTCCTTCTTTCTTCGGGTTACACTTACTGGGAATTTTATCCACAGCATAAATATGTACTTTATCTAAAATGAAATAGTTCAGGGAATGAACTGAACAGCGATCTGTAAACTGTGAATACATTTATCAGATTACTTTCTATGGACAAACCCTGGTCACAATAGAGGGAAATCAGATTTATCTTGTGGCAACATGTGAAAGTTTCAGTGAAAATGGAAGGCAAAAATAAATAAACTGGAGCTTCAGAAAATAGGATTCAGGTTGTTTCTTAGGTTTATCTAATACAAATATTAACTAATAAAGCTAAGTTGCGTTAATGTTATTAATACTATTTACACTTGTTTATGGTATAGAAGAAAAACAATGGAGTAGGGAATTTGTATTGGGATACTTAGTTGTTTCCATGACTTTTCATTTTTTCTTTAAAATTAAATAAATAAATAAATACTGCCTTCTTCTAAACACAACCCACTTTTATATGTGTATGACTGGGTTATAAATATGAATAATAATCTTTTCTTTTGAATACAAATGATGAGCTACACAGGATTATTATTTTTTTTTTTTTTTGGTTTTTCTCCGGTACCGGGAACCGAACTCACGACCTTGCGCTTGCCAGGCAGACGCTTTGCTGCTGAGCTAAATCCCCAGCCCTACACAGGATTATTGAAAGTAAAAATAATATGAAGAAATTTATCATATATGCTTAAGTTCATATTTTATGTGCATATATTTAAGAAGTTGGTATGTTTATAAACAAACTATGACTTGTCCATATTTAAGTGACATGGTACCTAAAAACACCTTTTTCTTGGGGAAGACAGATGTCTCTGAAATATAAGAATTTGTTTGATGATGAACCAGATTAGGAAAAACTAAATTAAGATGGTCATAAGTGTTGATTAGTGTAGATATTTTCTGAGTATAAAAATAAATTATTCCATTGCACTGTAACGAATTTTTCAATTTAACTTCCATGCCAGATTTATTGCAGGTCCCTTCCCCTCAGTGTCCCTTTTTAGCTTATATCCACTGACTTTCACAGAGTCACTTTGTGAGCAAGACATTCTGTTTCTCTGATCTGACATGTTTCTTGCATTGCTTTTCCAGGACTGTCTGTTCATGAGCATGAGAAACTACACATCTGTGACTGAGTTCATCCTCCTGGGAATTCCTAACACTCAAGGGCTAGAGGACATGATCTTTGCTGTGTTCCTGACTTTCTATACCTTCTCCTTGCTGGGCAACCTGCTCATTTTCTTCACCATTTTGACTTCCTCCAACCTCCACACCCCCATGTATTTCTTCCTGGGAAACCTGTCTGTGTTTGATATGCTTTTCCCTTCTGTGAATTCCCCCAAGATGATGGTCTTCCTGGTGGGGCAAAGCCGCACCATCTCTTACCAGGGCTGCGCCTCTCAGGTTTTCTTCTACCACACTTTGGGTGGCACCGAGTGTTTCCTCTACACTGTGATGGCCTATGACCGCTTTGTGGCCATTTGTCGTCCTATGCGATACATGATCATCATGAACCCCAGAGTGTTTACTGGCCTGATTGTGGGCACATGGTTGGGAGGCTGTCTCCATGGGAGTGTCCTCACCTTCCTCACCTTCAGGTTACCCTATTGTGGCCCCAACAAAGTACATAGCTTTTTTTGTGATATTCCAATGGTTTTACCCCTGGCCTGTGCAGACACCTCTCTAGCACAGATGGTGAGTTTCACCAACGTGGGTATTGTTGCACTCTTGTGTTTTTGCCTTATCCTCACTTCATATACTCGCATTATTTTCTCCATATTGAAAATCCACTCCTCAGAAGGCAGACGCAGAGCCTTCTCCACCTGCAGTGCCCACCTGACCTCCATCCTCTTGGCCTATGGGCCTGTGATTCTCGTCTATCTCAAGCCTGCTTCCAGCCTCTGGCTAGATGCTGCTGTTCAGGTATTAAACAATGTCATCACTCCTTCCCTCAATCCTTTGATTTACTCCTTAAGAAACAAGGATGTGAAATTGGCCCTGCACAAGGTGTTAGTACAAGTGACCCACCCTTCTAGAGCATAAGGAATAGGAGCAATTCCTCATTGGACAGTTTCTTCAGATCAGTACTTTCTTTGTCACCAAGATTACTGCCAAATAGTAAGCTGGACAAAGTTAATATCTCTCATTGGTTTTAAGTCATTTGAATATTATAACAGTTTAACCAGGAATGAGTTGGTTGAGATTGGATTTACACCTTTAAAAAACTAATTTTAGGTTAATCCAGAATTTTTTTATTTTTAAATTTGACAAAATATGGGGCTGGGGATTTAGCTCAGCGGCAAAAGCGCCTGCCTAGCAAGCGCAAGGTCGTGAGTTCGGTTACCGGTACCGGAGAAAAACCAAAAAAACCAAAAAAAAAATTTGACAAAATGTGCTCAGTATGTGTTCGAACAGTTGTATTTAGTTTTCATGAAACTGTAATTTTCTAAGGGGAAACTACATACCTCACCATACATTCTTTTCTTCTCTTTCACATTTATATGTTATTCTTTTGTAGTTTCTATGATAGTATCTTTTTTTATCACTCAATGAATATAGCAATTAGAGTGGACAATGTGTGAAATTCAAGAATATGATTCCATAATTTAATAATCACTTTATACTCCTTTTATAACTTCTTTGCCTATAATTATATCTTCCTCTAACAAAATAGCTGGGAGATTTTTTTCATTGATTCCAGAGAAACCTGGTGTTGAACTTTATTAATTCTGAAATGAGAAAGTGGCCATCAAAGCATGGTTTAAAATGGGAGAATGGATTTTGAATGAGACATTGTAACAATTTGTAAATTGGTAAAGATTTCATAAGCTAGAGATTTCTCTCCATTTGGGGCAATCTTATTTCTTGATAATCTAGTATAACTATAATTAATAGATAGTAAACCACTGTTTATTACTTATTATTTACTTTTAGAGTATTTTCACCTCTATATTTTTCATTTCACCAAACTAATTTCAGAATGGAAAACTTTTATTTAGATTCATCCACTCAAATACGTAAAATAAACAACAGCATTTAAAATGTGTTTTAGTATTCACAGCATTTTACATGTATGAACTAACAAATAACTAGGCCAAGATGAAATGATCATAGTGTATTCTTTCTGATGTCAGTGATAAATCTCAGAAAAATAAATCACGTTGTTCCATGACATTTTAGAAGTCTAATTTTATCACAGTTGCTTTACTGAGTTACTTTTAGTACTTACTATCTTAAAGGATCCTTTGGGTCAGCCTATCATAGACCTTTATATACACATTTCACGTAACAGGACATGTCTAGTATCTCATAGACATTAACTATTTCAAATGAGGTTCATTTAGAATAGAAATACTCCAAATTGAAATGAGAGTAATTTCTGTGTTGAAATCAGGTTCTTCTTATGCCTATTATGCATGAAGGTGTGCATGGGTGCCTGAACTCTCAGCTAGCCTTTTAGCAGTAAGGCTGTTGTGCTATCCTGTGCCTTACAAACCAAAAATCCAGCTATATTTACTGTGAGCAACATTACTCACAATGTGATATATGAAAACGGTAAGTTCAAACAGAAATTATTAAAATTTTCAGAGACTAGAATAAAGGAAATCAAATGCATTCCTTGGGGAAAAGGGTAAGGAGTTCAGTAATTGGCCCCAGATCTACACCACATTCTTAAATTCAGTAATTATGTAACTTAATTATCAGTAATCACATTGCTATTTTGATATAGTCTGTCACTAGTGGTTTTTAGCTCTATTATTTGTAGACATGAAAGTCTGCTATTTTGTTGGTCCTCTCAAAAGCAGGTAAATTGTAGATAATACCCTGGTTTGGTAATTACATAAAAGGTAGATAAAATTGTGGACATTTCAAGAAAATAACATGAAAAGCATAAAAGGATTTGTAAAGACTGTTCTGAGACTGTAATTTCACTTGATAGACCTCATCATATGTGCCTGTATTGGGGGACATCAAGGATTAGGACTGATATAGCCTAAACTGAAAAGGGGTCTCCACTTCAACAGTGGCAGGGGCAGTAGTGACTTCTTTATCGCATGATAAGTGTTCCTTAGAGAACAGAAATGTTTTCTAAATCTTGATCCAGAGAAAGTTACTGACAGTTTTCCAGTGGCTTGAGCAATCATAGAATTTTGAAAATTTAGAGCAGATTGGAAGAAGTAGCTACAATGTCATGAACTGCATTAAGGCAGAATAGCTAAAGAGTTATTCTGCATAATTTTGACCTCAGATTTCAAAAGAGATGGAAAGGTAGTTTATTCATTGACATCATTTTTTATTTTACTATTTAAACTAATGTATTCATTAACATTAAGTCTCTGTTAGTGAAAAGAGCCCTTCTTTCCTAAAAAAACAAGCATACTCACTACTGGATAGCTAGGACATATTAACCATTTTATAATATTTTGCAATCATTTTCATCAGAGTTTTTCTCTTAAGGTGATATATCATTCATGTCATTTTAATTCATCTCCTAGTATCTATGGCCATACTACCCTGAACTCATTTGATTTTGTCTTATTCATCTCCAAGTCATCAACTAGAAGGAATAAGATTATTTAAGTTAGCCAAGTTTGACATTACAGAAGCTGAACTGCCATTGTATTTCTGATGCTCCTTATCACTGGGCAGACACTTTGGGTTTTCTCTTTTATACGGTGTTCTATTGCAGTTTTAGCTCAACTATGTTTTACAGTCCTCTCCACTTCTATTGCTTTTTCAAACTTTTATCTACGTCTTGTGTTGACTATTTGGTCCATTTTCTAGTGTTTTACACCTTACGTGTAAAAAGTATATCTATCATATTCACCACGGTATCCTATTTGGCTAGCACCATGCTTCCTAAATTGTAACCTACCAGTGAAGATTCTATGTTACTGTAATGGCTGCTTTTGACATAGCTGATTTTGGGTCCAGTCATTTATTAAAATATTAAGTAAGAATTTATGAACCAAGTAACAAACCAAAATTAGCATATGAGAAGAACTGTGGTCTGTATATATTAATGACAAAATGATTGCTCTATTCAATAAAAACTATTAGCTGACAGAAGAAAGAAATTGCCACAGAATGGAATATTTGGTGATGATACCATGAAAATGGTAGAAAATGAACAAAAATATAAATTATCTGTTAATCTCATAAAGAGTATATTACAATAGAAATTAAATCAAGGAAGGTATGTGTAGAAATATATCATACGTAAGATGTTTTCAGCATATGAACAGAAAAAGAATTTCAATGAAGTTTAGATAAAATTAAAATATAATTATAGTGATGAGAAATGTGTCTAGAAATGTTTGATACTCTCTTCAAATGGTGGAGCCTGATTTCTCTCTCACTGAGTGCTAGCCAGATTTAGTAGCTCCTTTCCAACAAAGAAAAATAAATGCAGAAGTGATGGTATATGTCTTTGGGGATGAGGTCATAAAAAACTCTGCAGGTTCCTGCTTAGATACTCTTTTGAGTCCCTCACTGTGAGGAAAGCAGCTGCCTTCACATGAGAACTCATAGGTGGATAAATGAAGAAGTCCACATAGTGGTTAAGAATTGAGGCCTCCTGTTACAGCCCAATAGTGAACCATCTTGCCAGCGGATCTTGCATCAGATAATTGCTTTTCTGGTTAACAAGGTGCCTGCAACATCATCAGAGACCCTTCGCTAAGACCGCCCACCTAGGCTACTCTAGTGTTCGTGACCATGGACACTGTCTAATATAATGTTATTTTGTTCTAAGCACCCAAGTTTTGGAGTATTTTTTCTTTTTGCACTAAAATAGATAGCTAATGAAACACTATCAGTATTGCAGGAGATCCATGAGTTCTCAAATAATAGAGTTAAGGTTGCCTGTGAGAGTCAATGTGGTGATATTACCCACTGTGAAAGTAAACCAGATGATAGCATATATGTACTTCAATACATCATGGACACATATGTGTTTTCCCTTTTTGCCTTTGTAGGATTCATTTACAAAACATTCTATCTAAGGCCCGATGGGCCCAAGTCAGATAGCAGGCCTTAAGTACATAGGTCTGTCCTTGACCGAGGGACTGCAGGGATATTACTGTGGAGTAGAAAGGAGCAGAATTTATTACTTTTCTATTCTTGCCTATTTCTATTACCAGACTGTTAGCCAGACTGCTGTCCTACTTATACCCAGTATCATCACTATTATCTCTATCCAGTTACTAAACTCCCTGTGCCTCAGTTCTCTCATATATAATTGAGGACAACAATCACACCTACTTAATAAAAACACAGTTCGGGTTGGATTAGCTAACATTGTAAAAGAAATATATTCTAGGATCTACCTCTTTATTGAGGTAGAGGTGTATGGAGTGTTCAGTCTTGAGAATCCCTGATTATTAATCAGTATATATAAAGCCTTATAACACTGTCATATACATAATAAGCAGGCTTTGAACATTAGCTCTTATTCTAGGTGCTTTAGTGAGTTAATCAAAATAGGTTGGTCCCTGTCACAGTGCGCAACCCCAGCTGCAGAGAGGATGTGGAAGGCAACTCAGAGATGAAATTAATTCAGTCACCTAGAAGTCAGAGGTGCTGCTTCTTGAGCATAGGAGAGCCTCAGGGAAACAGCAACCAGTGGAGACCTTGGTTATTTATTGTAATTCAAGGACATGGGAACAAAGACATAAAAGAAAAGCATTTTGCAGCATAATGTATAGGAGTTTTTTCAGGAGACAGGGCCAGAATGGGATGGTTTGTTAGGTGATACATATTGACCTAGTTTAATCTTATCTGGGCAGAGGGAAAACATTGGCCAAAACAAACATCCCTGACAGTAGCTTGCTCTTAGCTCCGCTGGCTGATGTCCTGCACATTCTGCTCTAAATTCTAACCCTGCATTCCAGCAACGTGGGAACTGCTGTTCCCCGAGGTCCCCTCCTTACCACACTCAGGTTCAATCATTCCTGTGGCCAGCATCTCCCCACGGGTCCCTATCCTGAAATTAAATTTCTTAAGTACTTAAACATAAATGTTAAATTAGGCCATAAGTTAACAGAAAGTATTTTGTTTTAATTTCAATTAATTAGAGGTACATTGTAATGATAACTATAGTTATACTACATTTTCAAGAAATGGACAGTGCCCACAAAGGATAGAGATTTCTACCTGTAAAAATCTATCCTCTGCAAATGTACAAAATCCATTCTATTTACTACAAATAGATGAAGAGCCATTTTCTTCTCCTTTTAGATAAAATGAAGCTCAACACCAGACTTCTTAGATAACCAAAGAGAAATGGACACAATTGGAATTGTTTTCTAGAGAAGATACGTTTATAACCAAAAAAGTTATCAAGTGATTGTTGGTTTCAGGATGATCAAAACCAAAGTAGAGTAGCCCTGGCTCAAGACCCTCCAATTAGAGCCAGCACATCTGACCTGAACTGTATAGAAACCCACTAGGTTCATGCTGACCTTGGGAGGGGGCAAATAGCAGCATCTGGAATGATGCAGTAGCATTCAGAACACTGTGGGAAGCCATCTCCCAGTCTCCTGACCAGTGCCTTTGTTACAGTTTGACCTTCACCACACAAGTCATGTACTTAATAGCCTCCCTTGCACTTTAAGCTAAAAAAAAATAGCATCTTGTAAGACCTTGGAGAACATTTTCAAAGATGCTTGAATTTGGTGTCTCCTGGATGAATTCTTTCTTCTCAACCAGGTTGTTTTTATCTTGGTGAGTAGTATAAACTGATATTTACCATATTTCCCAATCTCTCAATCTTAATTTTATATTTCATTCCTGAGGACTCTAAAATATAGTCTTATTAAATAGTCGAGTGATACTGTACAGAATAAAATCAGGCATATAAAAAGAAAGGAATGATAGAAAAAGGAACAAGACAGTCCATGGCGTCTAGAAACCTGTGACCGTATCATGTCAATCAAAACAGATTTTCAACAAGTACAGGCCAAGTGGAGAAGATATACACTGTTTGGGCAAATAAAAAAAGCCTAAATTAATCTGAAAAAAAATGTTTTTTGAAGGAGGAAATCTGTCTCTGCCCACTCATTCCCTACCACACAATATTTAGGACTCCCAGGAAATAAGAGAATGTGACTTTGCTCAGCTTTCTTCTTGGCAAAGATCCTGGGGATCTGAAGCAGCCTCCAAAAAATTTCAGAGACAAATTGTTCCATTCCCTAGGCCCCAGAAGTGTGGGTGATTTGAACCAACATCTTCCTTAGGGCCAATTTCACATCTTTGTTTCTCAAGGTATAAATCAGAGGATTGAGGGATGGTGTGACAATACTGTTTAGCACCTGCACAACAGAATCTAGCCAGGGGCTGGAAGCTGGACGGAGATAGACAAGAAACACGGGCCCATAGAAGAAGAGGATAGAGGTCAGGTGGGCACTGCAGGTGGAGAAGGCTCTGCGCCTGCCTGCTGAGGAATGGATTTTCAATATGGAAAGAGCAATACGAGTGTAAGAAGTAAGGATAAGGAGAAAGCACATGAGTGCAATGACACCTATATTAGTGAAACTTACCATCTGTGCTAGAGAGGTGTCTGCACAAGCCAGAGGAAGCACCACTGGGATATCACAAAAAAATTGTGCACCTTGTTGGGGCCACAGTAAGGTAACCTGAAGGTAAGAAATGTGAGGATACACCCATGGAGACAGCCCCCAAGCCAAATGCTCACTATCAGGCCAGTACACACCCTGTGGTTCATGATGATCATGTATTGCATAGGATGGCAAATGGCCACAAAGCGGTCATAGGCCATCACAGTGTAGAGGAAACACTCGGTGCCACCAAGGGTGTGGTAGAAGAAAACCTGAGAGGCGCAGCCCTGGTAAGAGATGGTGCGGCTTTGCCCCACCAGGAAGACCATCATTTTGGGGGAAATCACAGATGGGAAAAATATGTCAAACATTGACAGATTTCCCAAGAAGAAATACATGGGGTTGTGGAGGTTGGAGGAAGCCAGAATGGTAAGGAAGATGATCAGGTTGCCCAGCAAGGTGAAGAGGTAGAAGGCCAGGAACAAGACAAATAACACGTTCTCCAGCCCTTCCGTATTAGAAATTCCCAAGAAGATGAACTCAGTCACAGAGGTATGATTCCTCATAGTCGGCTGCATGTTCACACTGTTGCAGGCAGACCTGGAAAAGCAAAGCAGTAATCATGATGGAGTCTTCTTTGCTCTCAACCAATTGCTTTTATCTTGGTTGGCAATATAAATTAGTATATACCATATATGCCAAACTATCCGGTGCTATGTTTAAATTCCTTTCCCTCATGCCTCTAAAACATAGTTCTGTCGACTACCCAGAGTGATGGTGTCATGGAACAGAGTCAAGTATAAATTTTAAAAGGAAAGAAGAAAGGCAGGGAAGGACAGGGAAGGACAGAGAGAGGAAGACAATGACTGACCTCTCAGTTACCACAAATAACAGAATATCTTCCTGACAAAGTAATTTCTGCATAAGGCAAGGAAAAGAAGTCCAAATGAGGAATAAGAAACCATAATAAATCCAGTCTAGAGCATAAAATAAGAAAGATGTGAAATCTGGCATCAATTTCTTCACAGATTGAGGCAAAGGAGTAATTAGTATTTGGCAAAATCTTACCAAAATCAACTGAAGACCAATTTAATTTATTTTATTTAAATCTTTTTATCATTGTACCAGAATATTTCAGAGCTGTGAAAAATTTGTTAGCAGGTGATAACATAATAATAAAAAGCCAAGTTATAGTTTGTAATTGGGCTACTATCCAAATATGTGCACAGAAATATTTAAACTGTCACAGAAATGACAACCAACTGCTTAGTTTTACTTTCAACAATGCTCTTTCTTTTTTCATCATTTATATTTGAATTAATAAACATACAACTCATATTTATAACATGCTCACTCATCTACAAAAAGGAGACTGAGCCTAGAAGTTGATAGAAATGACTACTCCAACCCACTAGGAATTCTTTCAACTAGATTTTATTTCTCTCCTGCAGACCTCCAGATACAAATTTCAATAGCATTAGTGCAATTTGCTTTATTAGTTAATATTAGCACTAGATAAACCTAAGAAACAACCTAAATTAATTTTTTTTCTAAGGCACAGTAATCCTTCTGATTTGGGGTGGGTTGTTTGCTTATTTGTTGGTTCTGGGTTTGTTTATTTGTTCCATCCCATTTTCTCCTATATCTCTATTTATTGCTTTGAGATATAACTAATTTTCTTCTGCTGTGATAGGATTCATTCACATTTGTCAGACATAATCCGACAAACCTATTTATAGTAACTTTCAGACTGCTGCCCTGCTACAGTTGTGTAATTATTGTAGTTCTGACAAGGGTCAAGCCTTACACTGTGGATAAAATTCTCAGTATGTATAATTAGTATCAAGAACAAAGAGGTCAAGAAAGCAGGAGCTCTTGACAGCACTGCTGTGGTCGGCCTAATAGCCAGCCCTGAGTAACAACAGGCCCCCTGCAGGGTTTCAAAAGTTTGAGAAAGTAGCAAATTATCAACAGGAAGTGAAAAAGACTCCAATACAGAAGCAACTAAATTTCAGGCCTACAAGACTGTTAAACTTTATAATGTAGTGACAACGAAAGTATTTCCAGTGTGAATGCAAATGTAATTAGAAATGGATTTGAAAGGCTCCAGGGGTTATGAAAAGCAGAGGAAGATGAATATACCATCAGGACTCCACATGTGTCATGTAAAAATACTTGCAAAATTAAAATCATTTAGTAGGTGAGAAGTGCGTAAATATCAGTTTAATCCGAACCTTCCTTCTGAAATCTACTCCTTTGATGTGGGCACACACACACACACACACACACACACACACACACACACACACACACATCCCCAACCACCCTCTCTTTCATTGCTTGTTCATTGCCGGCTTACTATGGATTGCTGAACTCAGAGAAGTGTAAGAATTCTCCTCAGTTCTATAATTCTCCTCTTTTCCTTGGTAGACCAGGTAAAATGACCAGGACATAGACAATTTCTCCATGAGACAAAGAGAAAGAAAGGAAAGAGAGCAATACAGGCAAAAGAATAATTGACAAAAGCAGATAGAAACTTCCATCAGAAACCTACCAGCTGATGGGAAACACATCTAGTTTGTACAGAGAGATTTTTTCTAAAATCCCCAGGCAAGAAGAATGTGTCTTTAGCACTCTATCTCCATTTTCCATAAGAAGCCATGGCAAAGGGCCATAGCTTTGCACCTTCTTCCCTTGAATCCAAGACATAGATTCCTCACTAAGCCCTGCTATTATTCTCGTCCCCAGACTCTGGATTTATAAGGCTTTAAAACTATAGCACATTAATGGTTCTCTTCCTTTTGAAGCAATATCCCCAGTGGTTCAAACTCTGATGCAAGAAGCGTGAAGGAACAAAAGCAGTAATTAGAGGCTTCACTTCTTTCCTTATGCCCTTTGCTATTCCCTTCCTCCTTGTTTTATCATATGGCATATTTACCATGGAAGTAGTAGGAAAAGTATAACCTGTCTGGTAAATAGTCAAAAAACAAGAAAAATACCACATTTCCTCAAATTTAATATTATCAAATTACTTCATTAGTAACAGTACCTAGTGGGAGTCAATTTTGTCAGTAATATATATTAACATATTTTAAAGTGCTAAATTTTTAATAAGTGATTGTTAACCATGTTAAATATTCATTTTTGATTACTCCTTAGTTAAATGCATTTTTTTAAGATAAAAAGTTCACATTTAGTTTAAAACAAATTGTATTTTCTAAGGTTTACAATAAGGGAGATATTTTTAAAAGATTATAAAAACAAACAAACAAAAACATAATTTCCATAAATAAAACTTTGTCCCTTGTCTCAAAAAATATATATTTCAGTGATTGATTTGGTCTTTTACAGTTACAGTAAGAAATTTTTCCTCATGTTAGATTATACAGCTAATAAAACTGTCTTGTTTTAATTACAGTTTTCCTCTTGACATCATATACAGGATTTGCTACTGATTTATAAGTCTTTGGTGCTCTTGTGATTCCTAGTGATGTTGATTGCCTGTTTTAAAGGCTCAAAATAAAGAGGAACAGCTGTTCACTGAATGACAGACAAACACACAAACAAGTACACAGAACAAATAGATATCTTTATAAAATCAGAGTGCACTCAAATATATTTTTGACCAAATTGAATTCTAGTAACTATTATAATTTTAGAAATGTATAATTTATATAGACTAGTCAGATTTTGTTGTCAATTAGCAAATATCTCTTAGAAAATCTTTGGAAGGAATAGAATCTTTTATCTATAATGAATATGTATATTTTGTATTTTATCCTCTTAAAAATTTTTAAAAATTTAATTAGTATATATCGACAAGCGAAGTGGGAGGGATTGATTCCCCCTTTTGTTTTTGTAATTTGAATTTTGATCATAAAGTGAGAAACCTGTATCTAATATTTTGTAAGAGGAAGTCACCATATAGCCTCCTTTAACCTAAGATGACCTATCTGCAAAAACAGAAGCAACTTGAAATAATTTGTCTGAAGAATAATGACAATTAATAACACCAGAGAAATTAGTCTAAAATCTGGATAGAGCCAATTAATACTACCAAATAGTCTGAAAATCATTTCAGAGTGATCTAAAGAGTTTGGATAAATTGTCTATTGGAACAGATGACTCAAATATGAAAATGTTACCATAGCTTGTACTCTTTGGAGGCCAACACTAGGCCTGCCATTATTTAAATGGGATGTAAAAATTAAGGACTGTTTAAACCGCACTGTTTTTAGATTGTATTTTAAACTTCTATGTCAATTAGTTAAATGCATTTAAAATTTCTTTTTATTACTTTCCCTTACAACAACTAAAGCAACGTAGCATCAGTATAGGACAAGAAAAAAAGACAAATAAAAGAGAATAGAGTCCATAAAAACAGAGCCTTTGAATATATGAATAATTGATGTTGAAGATGGCATAGAAAAACATGAGGAAAAAATTTTTTTCATGACATTACACTAGGGAAATTAAATTGGCAAGGAAAAAATGAAATTTATCTTTTACCAAATAACATACAGAGAATCAAAATTAATTTCTAGGATGTTATAAACACAAATATTTAAGAAAGCAATGTAACTTTTATAATTTACATGGAGGAAAATCTTTTTGACCAAAATAAAGGAATTGATAGCAATAAGAGAAAGACTAAAAGTTTTGTTACTTTAATATTGAGTTAATATTTAATATCACTTTAAAAGTAAATAAAAATTTAAAACTAAAGGAGGTAATACATACAGCCAATGTTACTAAAAAGTACAACTCATATTTGAAGTATAAAAAGAATTCCTGTAATTTATGGTAAAATATACTCCAATGTAAGCGATAAATGACTTGGTTAAGCTTCACCAAATAAAAAAGTATTTAATCTTAATAAGCAGAAGAACATCTGCTCAGTCACTTTAAGATTTTGGAAAGTTTAAATTACAATATGATTTTTCTTAAAGAAGTTGTTAAAATTTTCAGCTACTAGAACTTTTACACACTGTTGAAGATAACATAAATTTATGAAATCATTTCAGAAAATGATTTAATACTTCCAAGTAAGCTGGAAAGTACATTTGTCAGAATACACAAATTTCTCTGTCAAAATTTAGGCATATGTGCATCAGGATAATGAACATGAATAATCTAGGTGGAAATTTTTAGTGAAATATTTGTACACTCAATGTCTACAAATGTCTATTTTTCATGATGCTAGGATACATTTCACTAAAAAGATAAATTTACTGTTATATGTATGTTATGGTTAAATTATAAACATTTCCCAAAGATTCATGTGTTGATGGCTTGGTCTCCAACTAATGGCCATATCAGGAGATAGTAGAACTTTAAAAAGTAGGCCTAGTTAAGGAAAGTAGGCTATTGTGTCTTGAAATTTATGTTGGTACCCAACCTTTGCCCCTCTCTGTTTCCTAGCCACTACGAAGTAAGTAGCTTTGCTTCACCACATGCTCCTCACCATGATGGTTTGACTTGCCACAGGCCCAAAGTGAGGAGGCAAAGTGACCATAGAGAAAATATCTGAAACTGTGAGGCAAAATAAATCTTTCCTCCTTTATTT